CTCTCTCTCTCTCTCTCTCTCTCTCTCTCTCTCTCTCTCTCTCTCTCTCTCTCTCTTTCTCATTCATCTCTCCTGTTCTCCTTCTCCTCACTCTTCCACCTCTCCTGCTCTCCTCTCTCTCTTTTCCATCACTCCTATTCCCCTTTCTCTTTCTCTCACACACTTTTCCATCGCTCAGAACTTTTATCCACATCACTGATCCCCTGTACTGACTATGCTGCCAGCTCTTGTGCTGCCAGCTCTTGTGCCTGCCCTTGATTTAGGCATATTTTATGTTAAGATCAATGACGCAATTGCCAGAGTTGACATGGCCAGCTGCTACAGAGACAGGGCGGGAAAAAACAGGGCCCCTATGATTCATTCATAGTTACCCCCCTTCACTTCCCTTCTATTTCTCCTTTTTATTTCTGTTTTTGACTACATTTCTCCTGACCTTTCCCTTCTCTCTCTCTCTTTTTGCTATCTTCCAATCTCTTGTTCTTTATTTTTCCTATCTCTATATTTTACTACCTCTTTTGTTCATCTTCGCCTTTCACTTTCATCTCTCATCACTCCTTTACCTTTTTTCTCTTACATCTCTCCTGTCCTTTCTTTTCTCTCCTTCTTTCTTTCCTTTTTTCTCTCTTTATCTCTCTCTCTCTTTCTTTCTTTCTCCTCCCATATCTTGTTCTCCTTTCTTTTATCTTTTTCTCTCCCTCTCTCTTTTCCATCCTTTCTTTCTCTCTCTTTCACCTTCTATGTCATCTTCTTTCTCTTTTTCCTCTTACATCTCTCTTGTTCTTTTTCTCCCTCCCTCTCTTCTCTTTCATCTATCGTCCTCCTCTTTCCTCTCTCTCTCTCTTTCATGGTGCGGAGAAGTGATTGTTGCTGGATAGAAACCTGCCCAGAAAACATAATGAGACAGACGGACAGAAAGGGAGGGAGAGAGACAGTGAGTGGGAGACATTGAGAGAGAGAGGCACAGGTTGGAGCACAGACAGGAGAGGGGCTGCGGAGAGACAGACATCCATGTGACAGGCTGCGAGAGGCAGGAGCTCAGGCGGGGAGGCAGCAGGACCCCCTCGGCGAGACAAAGAGGCAACCAGGAGGCAGGACCGGGCTCAGGGGTAGACAGAAAGCCGGAGAGACCGCATCCCTGGTGGATGTGACAGCATCTCTTTTTTTCCCAGCTGTTTCCTCCCCCTCAGCCAATCCTCACTCCGTCTGTTTGTGAGTCTCATCCCTCCTCCCCCGCCCTGGGCTGATGGTCCCTGAGCATCCCTGAGAGAGAGAGAGAGAAGGAGAGAGAGAGAAAGAGAGAGAGGGGGAGGAGAGAGAGAGAGAAAGAGAAGAGAGACAGGGCTGCGTCTGCTCGTCACGTCCGGAGACATCCCAATATGATCCTCCGGCTCCCAGTTCCGAGACCCCAGTGACGGGGTACCACCTCCGTACACCCCTCCCTCACTCCTCCTCTCCCCTTTTTTTCCCTTCTCTTCCCCCTCTCTATCCTTTCTCCTTTCCTCTGCCCCCTTCCTCCATTCTCTCATCATTCCCTGTATCCCTCTACCTTATCCCTCTCCATCTATCTACCCCTCCCCCCTCCAAGCCCCCCGGGATTGCCTGCCTAGAGCTCCCCGACCCTCATTTCTGTACACCCCCCTTGGAATCCCATTCATCCCACACAGCATGGGCTGCATTGGATCTCACAGCGCAGGTAAGACCTTCCAACACACACATTGCATATTCTGGCACTGCAAGGTGATCACTGACTGGACTATAGCACCATAATCTATGGACCAACTGACTGCATGACTGCAAGGTAACTGTGGCACCACCGGGCTCCTTGTCATAGAAACATAGAAGAGTGACGGCAGAAAAAGACCAAGTGGTTCATCGAGTCTGTTTGCACATTGCAAACAGCAAGGTGCAGTAACCGAAAGCCAGCCCGTGATCTGCAAACCATCTGCAGGCTGATGGCAATGGTGAACCGTGCAGTGCATGGTGAGATGATGGACTGTGACACATGGAGCACACTGCAAGGTGAACAGGCTATGATACCATGAGCTGTAGAGTGCAAGGGGGGACTACAGCCAAATTATTTGCACCAAAGCCAAAATAACCCACTGGACTGTACAATAACCTCTACCTACTGATACCTGACACATGCAAAAGTCTGCACGGTGCAAGAAGAAAACATGGCCAGCACACAAACTACACACTGCCACACAAACACACTGTAGCTTCATATGCTCAGTCATTTCCTACATTGTTACCTTATCGAGAAAGTATTCCTGCAAGGAGATATTAATACTTGACGACACACAATGTACACAACACTAAATACAAACACAGGACTGTGGCTTCATGTTAACGTAACACTATAAAACAGTGTAACTATGGACCAAAAAACAAACAAACTGTTGACTGTGACAATGTATACAAACTGTGCACTATGACAAAATACAAACATTGACAAATGATAAAGACACAATGTAACACTGTTATATAAAACTGTACACTAGGACTAAATCTAAACACTGACAACATCTATAGGTTATAACACAATGTAAACACTGCAATACAAAACTGTACACTAGGACTACTTGTAAACACAATGCCTGTGGACTGTGACACAATGTAACACTGTTATATAAAACTGTACACTGTGAGAAAATGTAAACACTTGCAAAGCCTATGGACTCTGACACAATGTAACACTGCAATACAAAACTGTACACAATGACAAAATACAAACACTGACAAATAATAAAGACACAATGTAACACTGTTATATAAAACTGTACACTAGGACTAAATCTAAACACTGACAACATCTATAGGTTATAACACAATGTAAACACTGCAATACAAAACTGTACACTAGGACTACTTGTAAACACAATGCCTGTGGACTATGACACAATGTAGCACTGCAATATAAACTGTAGACCGTGACAAAATATAAAGTCTGTGGACTATGAGAAAAATAATGACAACATACAAACACTGACAAAATCCATAGGTGAGGACAATGTAAACACTGCAGCATACAAACTGTGGACTATGACACAATATAAAAATGCAAATGAAAAACTGTGGACTTTGAGACAATGTAAACAATGCAGAATAAAGACCATGGACTATGACACAATATAAATACTATAAAATAAGAACTATAGACTATGACACAATATAAATACTATAAAATAAGAACTATAGACTATGACACAATATAAATACTATAAAATAAGAACTATAGACTATGACACAATATAAACACTGACAAAGTGTATAGACATTGACACAATATACACAGACTGTGGACTATGACAAGATATAAGTAATTGTACCCTATGGACTATGATACAGCAGATAGTAAACACTGACACTGTGGACTATGACAGGATGCAAAGCAATATAAACACCTTGAATTGTGAAGCAATGTAAACACTGCAAGATATTGACCGTGCACTACAACACAATATACAAAAATGTAAACAAAAAATAATTCTGGATCATGACATAATAAAAAAAAACTAGAAAAAAACAAAACTTACAACAATGGTTGTGGACTGTGACACAATATAAACACGGCAAACTAATAATAATAATACAAAAATAAAAAAAAAGACTTTGACAAACTATAAATGTGCAAATTGATCCCTATGGACTATAACACAATATAAACATAAAAATAAAAATGTTGACTATTAGACAATATGCAGTAATACACACACACATATACTGTATATATATATATATACACACACACACACACACACACATACACAGATACATACACACACACACATACACACACACACACAAACACATACACACACATACACATACACAGACACACATATATATATATACACACACACACACACATACACAGACACAGATACATACACACACACACATACACACACAAACACATACACACACATACACATACACAGACACACATATATATATACACACACACACACACACTGCAGAGCAAAACAACGCTTTGGCTAGAACAGAATGTAAACACTGCAGAGTGACAGCGGGGGGCTGTGATACTACATATACACTTCAAATGAATCATCTGTTCCCTTATTTAATAAGTCATGTGTGAATTGTAACCAGTGGCAGCCAATAAGCAATTATCTTTCATTGGTGGGAAATATCTCCCTTTAATTGCTACTCTTTGCACTATAGTCATCTCCTTTACACTAAAGCAATGTCCCTTGTACTATAACCATGTCCTTTACTCTATAGCCATACCCTTTGCACTATATCCATCTCCTTTACTCTATAGGCATTGCCTTTGCACTATATCCATCTCATTTACTCTATAGCCATACCCTTTGCACTATATCCATCTCATTTACTCTATAGCCATACCCTTTGCACTATATCCATCTCATTTACTCTATAGGCATTGCCTTTGCATAGCCATGCCCTTTACACTATAGCCATCTCCTTTAAACTGTAGCCATGCCCTTTACACTATAGCCATGTCCTTTGCAGTACAGCCATGCTCTTTGCAATCTAGCTATTTCCTTTGCACTATAGCCATGCCCTTTGCACTATAGCCATGCCCTTTGCACTCTAGCCATTTCCTTTGCACTATAGCCATGTCCTTTACACTATAGCCATTTCCTTTGCACTATAGCCATATCCTTTACACTATAGCCATGTCCTTTGCATTATAGCTATTTCCTTTGCACTATAGCCATACCCTTTGCACTCTAGCCATTTCCTTTACACTATAGCCATGTCCTTTGCACTATAGCCATGTCCTTTGCACTATAGCCATGTCCTTTACACTCTAGTCATGCCCTTTACACTCTAGCCATGTCCTTTGCACTATAGCCATGCCTTTAGCACTCTAGCCATGTCCTTTACACTATAGCCATGCCCTTTACACTATAGCCATGCCCTTTACACTATACTCTAGCCATGTCCTTTGCGCTGCTTTAATACAATAAACAAACTCGCTGAACCACAACAAAATCTACATAAACAGATTGGACTGTGAGTGGCCATGAATACCAAGTAATGCAACAGATTCAAGTATTTAATGTTGGTTCTTGTTATTTTGCACAGAGATTTTTCAGCTTGTTGGGGGTAGTACAGCAATTGTTTGTATTTCCATAGAGTAAAGGGAGCAAAATCTTTCACTGCATGCATCATAGCGTAACACCAGAAGCTCATTTTGTTCACACTTTTGCGGTGCGCCAACAGATTTGAATTGGCTGCCTGAGGCACCAAACGCACCAAAAAAGGTGCATGTACTTTTTTTTTTGGTAATGCAGCTCACCACGGCGCACGGTAGCCCATTACTATGTGTTGTGGTGAGCTGCATTACAAAAAAAAAAAGTACATGCACCTTTTTTAATGCGTATGTCGCTTTAGGCAGCCCATTCAAATGTTAGCGCACCATAAAAGTGTGAGCTCTCAGTGCTACTATGGCACACGTACGGTGAAGTCATGTTGGCGAGGTACGTTGGGGTGCCATGGTGAATGAATGCCACCGCACCACCCCAATGAACAAAATAGGTGTTGCGGTAACATGTGCACCAACATACGCTTTACCGCAGTGAAATGGTGCGGGCCAAACAGTACAACGTTTGCGACTACGGGCGCGTTGTATTTTTTACAGTGCTGCGTTAACATGTTTCTTTCTCTAGGCTTTTTTGTTGTCGTTGCTATCACATGTCGCGATGCAATAAAATGTGCACTTATTTAATGAACCTTGAGTGGGTAGAGGGGGCATTACAGCGCTTTGACGCTTCCAGCGACGGCGGGCACATTCGTCTTTCGCTGAAAGCCGCGTCTGCACACGGACGTGAAACTACACACTGCAAGATGAAAACACTGACGCATGACACAGCCTACAAACTGCAAGGTGATAACATCATAGCTCAATCAATACTCCGCTCTCCGGACTCAGACACAATGGATGTGCAGGGACGGGGGGTCCACGATCACACGCTGCCCACCGGCACGGCGTCAGCGCAGCTGCATTGTGATAGACGGGGCGCAGCTGCAAGGTGACACGTTAAAGCTTGCCTTCGTATGTGACAACCCACACACGCTACGCCGCCGACACGACGCAGACTGGCTGCTTATGCTCCGCTCTCCCCGCAGTCGAGGACTCGTCTTTGCATTGCTATTCAGATGCATGCTGCGCTGCTGTGCACCCTGCTGTGAACTATTGTCACATTGTGTAGAGGGTTGTTAACTTCGGACGTCCTCCCCCCTTTAACTCCGAACGTCACTTGCCACTTGCCAAAATGTTAAATTAATTTTCAAGGTCCCCTGCGCTGCAAAACAAACAAAAAAAAAGCTAATTTATAATTTTTTGATACACATGCCTATAGGACATTGGTGAGGATTACAAATTGCCACAGTTCCTTTGCAGATTGGTAGAGTGTCGCACGTGACATTCGGTGACAATTGCACTGCAGCTTGTTGTGTTTGGCAGAGGTAATGTGTTGGCAGTAACACGTTGGGGGTCGCAATGGGCTATCCTCTCCCTCTTAAGAGGAGGCAGCGACCCCCGGCGGCCGCTTTGGGCAACGGCCTGCGAGCCGCGTGAGTCATTGATCCCCCCATCTGCTGTCAGCAAGGCTATAAATGAGAAAAGGATCATAATTTATCTTTACTGGCACGATATTCCCTGTAAAAAAAATAAAATAAATTATAACGGCGTATGGATTG